TCTCGAAAAACCAAAAAAAAAAAAAAAAAAAAAATTGAAATGCAGGTTGCAGAGAAAATATCAAACACAGCAAATTGGATCAAGTAGTGAAGAAATACTTTTATTAGGAGTGAGGAATGTGGTGGTATTGTGTTCCCCAAAATATTGTGCACCCTAATAAATTTATCTGGGGTCAGAAAACAGTCACTAGATACAGAGGCTAGAAAATGGTGGCACTCACACCTTTCATCCTAGCAGTCCAGAGGCAGAAATCCCTATGGATCTCTGTGAGTTCAAGGCCACAGTGGAAACGGCCAGATATGGTGACTCACATGCCTTTAATCCCAGAAAGCAAGCCTTTAATCCCAGGGAGTGATGGTGGAAAGCAGAAAGATATATAAGGCGTGAGGACCAGAAACTAGAGGCATTTGGCTGGTTAAGTGTTCAGGTTTCTAGCAGCACAGTTCAGCTGAGAGCCATTCAGATATGAGGACACAGAGGCTTCCAGTCTGAGGAAACAAGACCAGCTGAGAAGTTGGCCAGGTGAGGTTAGCTGTGGCTTGTTCTGTCTCTCTGATCTTCCAGTGTTCAATCCAATAACTGGCCTCAGGTATGATTTTATTAATAAGAACTTTGAAGATTCATGCTACAGAGGAAATACACACACACACACACACACACACACACACACACACACACACACACACACACACACACTGGGTGGGGACACAGAGACAGGAACCTTCTGCAAAGTAGGGTGGGGGACTCAGGAAGCCAAAGTCCTCCTTGAGGACTGGGGGGGGGGGTTAAGGATCTTTCCCTCTAACTGGGGGTTGGTCAGTCTATTTGTGTATATGTACAGTATGTATGTGCAGAAAGGCAGGGAAGCTGATAGGCCTACAAGCTTGGGCACCTGTGTCCTGGTCAGGGCCTCTTGTTGGGAGACCTATTGGCTGGAGGGAGAAAAAGCCTGCAGGCTGCAGCTCCCAAATCTTTGTCTCTGATCAGAAGAGTGTGAAAGAAGCTGGAAGTCGGCCATCTCTGTTATCTGTCTGTGGTCCTCTATCTGTCCGCCTCCCAGGGACCAGCCTAACTCCTAGTCCTCATTACTACGTGGTCTTTTGTGACTGACTTCTTTCACTTAGTATATTTCTATGGTTTAGTCATGTTATGGTCAGTACTTCATCCCTTCTCATGACAAATAACATTCCACTGTATATATATATACATATATACCATGTTTTAAGTGTGTTATTAATATTCTTTGCTACTGTGAATAATGCTGTTATAAACAATTGGGTTTTGTTGTTGTTTTTGGTTTTTCTGTGTAGCCTTGACTGTCCTGGAACTCTGTAGACCAGGCTGGCCTCAAACTCACAGAGATTCACCTGCCTTTGCCTCTGCCTCCCGAGTGCTGGAATTAATGGTGTGTGCCACCACCTTCCAGCTATAAACGATTTATATAAGTATTTATGTACGTACGTGTGTGTGTGTGTGTGTGTGTGTGTGTGTGTGTGTGTGTGTGTGTGCATGCACATGTAGTCAGAGACTAGTGGACAACCTCCAGCATCAACCTCGGTAATACTATCCACATCCTTTGAGACAGGATCTTTCACTGATCTGGAGCTCTAGAATTAGGTGAAGCTGGTTGGCCAGCAAGCCCCAGAAATCCTCCTGTCTCTGCTTCCCTGGTGTTGGGATTCTAAGTGCATACCGCCATGCCTAGCGTTTTTACTTGGGGATGGAGCTCAGGTTCTCATACTTACGAGGCAAGCACTTTGAGGACTATGCTATTTCCTCAGCCCTCTTATGTTCTTTTGAGACAAGGTCTTGCTGTATAGCCCAGGCTGACCTTCAACTTCATAAGTATCTCAGGATGGCCTCAAAACTGTGATCCTTGGACAGGTATAGTGGTGCATACCTTTAATCCCAGCTCTCAGGAGGCAGAGGCAGAGGCAGGCACATATCTGTGAGCTCTAGGCTAGCCTGGTCTACATGTTGAGTTCCAGGCTAGCCAAGGTTACATAGTGAGACTTTATATAATATATATTTTTGTAATCCTCCTTCCCCTTAGCCTCCCAAGTGCTAGGATTACAGGCACATGCACCAAGCCCAACTTGTTTTTTATGTATCTTGACTCTCTAGCTGACAGTGGAATGGCTGGGTCCCATAGCAGCCATGGAACCACAGTGGTTTCTGTTTGTGGTTCTTTGCTTTCTATACTCTGAGTCTATGTCACTCCACGTCTACTCCCAATATCGGCTCTTAGACCCAGGCCACCAATTCCCCCACTTTACCCAATAAAGTCCTGTTTTTGAAATCTTTATTTTTTTTCACATTATGTGTATGGGTGTTTCACCTGCATGTATCTATGTACTACTTGCATGTCTGGTGCTTGTGGAGGCCAGACAAGAGCATCTGGTCCCCTGGGACTGGAGTAGCAGATGGTTGTGAGCCGCATGTGGGTGCTGGAAATCGAACTTGAGTCTTCTGGAGGAGCAGCAAGTGCTCTTAACCTCTGAGCCATCTCTCTAGCCACCTAATAAAATCCTTAATGGGCATACTGGGAACCTGGTTACCTTGTGCTGAGTGTTTTTTTTTTCCTGGAGAGACACAGAGAAATGTCCATTCACTCCAGATAGAAGGGGACTAACAGGCCAAGTTTGGTTCTGTGAAGTAATGAGTATATTGTGGTTACTTACAGGAACCACCAGCAAAACCCTGGACAACTTACAGGCAGCTCCACCACTGAAAGGTCTCACTCCAAGCCTGTTTACTTTGTATATAGTGATGGATGGATTGTGGAGGGCGGGGTGCCAGCTCACGAGGGTCTTGTGAGGCTCCACAAAGGAATGCTAATTTGCCAGATCTCCTGTGGGTCTCATGTGCACCATCACAGGGGCTCTGCTTCAAGAAGACAATAGCCAGCCGGGCGGTGGTGACTCACGCCTTTAATCCCAGCACTCGGAGGCAGAGGCAGGCGGATCTCTGTGAGTTCGAGGCCAGCCTGGTCTCCAAAGCGAGTTCCAGGAAAGGCGCAAAGCTACACAGAGAAACCCTGTCTCGAAAAACCAAAAAAGGCAGAGACAGGTGGAGTTTGAGGCCAGTCTGGTCTATAGAGCGAGATCCAGGACAGGCACCAAAACTACACAGAGAAACCCTGTCTTGAAAAAACAAAAACAACAAACAAACAAACAAATAAACAAAAACTAAACAACCAACCAACCAAACAAAAAACAACAACAAAGAAGACAACAGCCATGTCCAACTCAGAGGACTCAGCCACAATCCCCCTGGCCATCAACCTGCAGCTCCCAGATAAGCTTTTCTGAGTCAACCAGCCAATAGTGCACATCTGAAAACACTCCTGAGAGATGCAGGCTAGCCTTGTGACAGCCAGGGAAGACCTCGCCCTACAAAGTGCTGGTTGACCAGGCTACTGCTGCTGCTCTGGAATCCCTCGGGGCATTCAGATACTGTCCGCAGGCCACGCCTGGTCATAATTTTCTATCACCACTTCAAGGAAGAAAAGGTAGTCTGGGTCCTCTCCCAAGGCTGATTAGGCTCAAGGCTTGGGAGTGGTACTTGTTACTCATCCTGGTCCAATCTCCCATTCTGCTTTCTGTCATGGGCAATTTTCCTAATAGATTTTCTGCAAGTCTTCTCTGGGCAACTTTTTTTCTCAGAGAAAAACTTGCTAGCTCCCAGGCATTCACTAAACTTCACAAATGTCTCTCAAACATTTTTTGGGACTTGTGTGGTCATGTGGAGGCCTGAGGTCAACGTGACTCCAGGAATGAGATGTCCTCCGTGTTCATTCATTGAGTCAGAGTCCCCTAAACCCAGAGCTCATATGGAAATGACCGTTCTGGCTAGCCAGCTTGCTCCTGTGTATCTCTGCCTTCTCAGTGCTGGAATTACAGGCAGGCTGCCACACCCACACAGTGTTTAAGGGGCTCTGGAGATTCCAACTCTGGTCCTCCCGCATGTTCTTTAACTACTGAGCAACCTCCTCAGCTCTTGTTGTAACGTGTGTGTGTGTGTGTGTGTGTGTGTGTGTGTGTGTGTGTGTATGATAGTGTACAAATGGAGGTCAAAACTTGTGTTGTGGAGGTCAGCCAGGCAGTGTTGGGACACGCCTTTAATCCCAGCACTCGGGAGGCAGGGGCAGGCAGGTTTCTGTGAGTTTTAGGCTAGCCTGGTCTACAAAGTGAGTTCAAGGACAGTCAGGGATACACAACACAGTGAAGCCCTGTCTTGAAACAAAACAAAACAAAAACCTCAAACCAACCAACCAAACAAGCAAAAAACAAAAAACCCCAAATTTGTGGAAGTCATTTCTTTCTTTTCACTCTGTTGGTCCCCAGGGAACTCAAGATGGCCAGGTTTGGTGGGAAGTGTCCGCCCAGCCACACTGCTGGTATGGGTTTTTGTGGCAGGCAGAGTCTCACTAAATAGGCCAAGCTAGCCTTGAACTTGCTGTGATCCTTCTGCCTCTACCTCATCAGTGCTGGGATTACAGGTATGCACTGCCATGCCTGGCTCTGCCTGTGTTATACTCCAAATTCCATCAGTGTAATCTGGGAAAGCAGTTTAATGTGAATGGGATTAGAAGTGCCGGGAAAGGGTTGTGTACTACCATCTTTGAGTATTGCTGGGAAAGGGTTGTGTACCACCATCTTTGAGTATTGTTATTGTGGGTTAACACGTGGCCCAGCAGCAGAGTATCAGTATCAGGCCTGGTACTGATAAAGCCAAACAAAGGTGAAGCCTTGTCCCAAAGCTGGGCAAACATTGCAGGTTGAAGACAGGAATTATTTTGTATATTGATGGATAGATTTAATTTTTTTAATGCTTTCTGATTGGTATTTTTTTTTTAAGATTTATTTATTTATTATATATACAGAAGAGGGTGCCAGATCTCATTACAGATGGTTGTGAGCCACCATGTGGGTGCTGGGAATTGAACTCAGGACCTCTGGAAGAGCAGTCGGTGCTCTTAACCTCTGAGCCATCTCTCCAGCCCCTGATTGGTATTTTTTTAAAAGATTTATTTATTTATTATGTATACAGTGTTCTGCTTGCATGTATGTCTGCAAGCCAGAAGAGGGCACTAGAGCCCACCATAGATGGTTGTCACTGAGACTTGAACTCAGGACTTCTGAAAGAGCAGCCAGTGCTCTCAACCTCTGAGCCATCTCTCCAGCCCTGATTTAGTATTTTTGAGACAAGGTTGCTGTATGAAGTCTTGGATGGCCTGGAACTCCCTATGTAGATCGGCAGGTCACAGACCTACCTGCCTCTGCCTCCTGAATGCTAGGATTAAAGGCATGCACTACTGCGGCTCACTAAAGCCAGGGTCTGAGGCCAGGGGAGTCTGTAGGAAGCTTTCCTTCGTACACTTCTTGTAGTACCAGCTCAACGTCGGTCATCTTGAATGACAACACATTTTGAGGGCTGGATCATGAGCTTCATCTCCTAGGGAAGCACAGCTCCTTCACTTCGAAGCTCAGAGACGTTGAGCACCAGCCTGGCTCATTCCCTTCCTCCCACTCGGTGGCAGACGTTTTCTCCCCAGCCAGCGCAAAGCTGAACATTTGGTGAGGAGTGTGAGAGAGGGTTCCACAGGCAACGACATGTGGTGTCTTTACAGGGAGTCCCGGGGGCTGAATGGCAGCCACTTCTTGCACGTCTCAGACAACTTGCTTCGCCCGCTCCTTCTAAATCAGGCCCTCACTGAATGTTCAGTACTTGATAAGGCAACACTCGGTGGGAAAAACAAATGGAGAAAGCAGGCTGAAGGAGGCTCCATCGTCCTGCAGGGACAGTAGGTGGTAATAGGGCTGAAGCTCCTATTCATCGCTCTGAGATTTTCCAGCCCTCAGGCTCATTGTTTGAAAGCTGTTGGTCTCAGGAAGTTGACCTGGGCTGAAGGAATCAAACATGGCTCTAATAGAGCAGCTTTGATCCTTAGAGTCCGGAGTTTCAAGTCTGGCTGGAGTCCAGACTTTGGAATGAGGACAAAGGGCACAAGCATGATCGATCCTTCACGGTCATCCCCTAGAAGGGGAACGGCATTAGTCAGATTTGCCTGAGGATGACTTAAACAGGGGTGGGGTGGGAGGTGGTTTGGTTCAGTGTCAATCCACAGCCGACACAGCACATCATGGCCGCAAGGACTTACCTTATGGTGAGGAGACAGAGGCAGTGTGAAGAAGGGCCTTGGGACAGGGCACTTCTTTCCAGGGCACACTCCAAGTGACTCACTTATCCCAACTAAGTTCCACCTTCCATAGTCTTCTACTCTCCAACAGTCTATTCCAATTTTTTAAAATTTTATTTATTTATTTTTTTGAGACAGGATTTCTCTATGTAGCTTTGGCACCTTTCCTGGAACTCACTCTGTAGCCCAGGCTGGCCTTGAATTTTTTTTCTTTTATTCTTTAATTTTTTTTCTTTTTTATTCAAATTTTAAATCCATCTATGGATTAGTGCATTGAGGGAGGCAGAATTCCCCATATCCAATGACCTCTCCAAAATCCTACTTCCAACACTACTGTGTAGGGATCCTTTAGTTCAGGACCCTTTTGGGGAGAACACTTTCTATCCACACGACATCAGGAACCTGTTTGGCCCAATGCCTCCTTCAGGGTGGAAGGGAGGCAATGCTCTGTGCATCGACCAGAAGCTGTGCAAATGACCCCTTGGACACTCGTAGGAAGGGGCAGGAGGATTAAGGTCATATCATACCCCAGTTGTGACCAGTGGCCATCTATCTGCTTTGTTCTCAAAACTGTAACTATTTTTCTACTTCTGACCTGGGCTTTAGAGGGCAGGAGAGTCAGCTGTGACACTATGTGTGTGTGTGTGTGTGTGTGTGTGTGTGTGTGTGTGTGTGTGTATCTTGTGTTCATCAGAGATAAGATTTAAAAATAAAAAAGCACTGAAAAGAAAATACATGGATTTATTCTTGCTTTTTTTGTAGAGTTTAAGAAATCTTCCTGATTTGGGGCCCAGTGATTAAGAGCACTTCCTGCTCCTGCAGAAGACCCAGGTTCAGTTTCCAGAACTCACATGGTACCTTATAACCTTTATAACTCCAGTTTCAGTGTATCTTATGCCCTCTTCTAGACTTTGAGGATACTAGACATGCTTATGGTGTGTACAGACACACATAAGCAAAACATTCATGTCCATAAAAAAATAAAAGTAAAGGCTGGGTGGTGGTGGCGCACACCTTTAATCACAGCAGAGGCAGGTGGATCTCTGTGAGTTGGAGGCCAGCCTGGTGTACAGAGCTAGTTCCAGGACAGCCATGGATACACAGAGAAACCCTGTCTTGAAAAACCAACCAACAAAACAACAACAATAGAAGTCTCCTCCTCCTTCTCTTTCTCATCCTCCTCCCTCGTTTGATAGGTTTAAGCTTCTCAGATCTGAGATGCTGTCATGCATACTGATGGGTTACCATCTCTGCCTAAGGACTCTGCATTCTGGCTGCACAACCTTTAAAGGCCTTGGTCACCGGGACAAGAAAGGCCCCTAGCCCTCCCCTTCTCCAGATCTCTCTGGGCACCTGACTATTGCCTGAAACAGCAAGATCCAACATACATACCTCGCCACAGGACACCTCTGACTTGTTACTGATGAATCTGGCTTCTTGATCATCTCCTGTTCTTTTATTTTAAGACTTATTTTTTTAAGTGGTGTCTTAGTCATAGTCATTTTCTATTACTATGAGGAGACATCATGACCACGGGAACTCTTATTGAATAAAACATTTTTTTTTTTCCAAGACAGAGATTCTCTGTGTAGCCCTGGCTGTCCTGGAACTTGCTCTCAGACCATTCTGGCCTTGAACTCAGAGATCTGCCTGTAAAGAAAGCATTTAATTGGGGGTTTGCTCCCAGTTTCAGAGAGGTAGTCCATTATCATCATGGTACGAAGCAGACAGGCATGGACTAGAGCAGTAGACTTTTACATCCTAATCCTGGGGCAGCAGGCAGAGGACACTGGGCCTGGCGTGGGCTTTTTTTTTTTCTTTTTTCTTTTGAAGACAGGGTTTCTCTGTGTAGCCTTGGCTGTCCTGGAACTTGCTCTGTAGACCAGGCTGGCCTCTAACTCAGAGATCCACTTGCCTCTGTGTCCTAAATGCTGGGATTAAAGGCATGCACCACTACTGCCCAGCTGGCATGGGCTTTTGAAACCTCAAAGCCCACCCCCAGTGACATACCTCCTCCAACAAGGCCACACCTACTCATTCTTCTAATCCTTCTCAAAAGTGTAGTCTTGCTTCCTGATGACCAAGCATTCAAATATCTGAACCTTTGGGAGCCTTTTGTTTTTTGTTTTTCGAGACAGGGTTTCTCTGTGTAGTTTTGGAGCCTTTCCTGGATCTCGCTCTGTAGACCAGGCTGGCCTTGAACTCACAGAGATCCACCTGGCTCTGCCTAGTGCTGGGATTAAAGGCATGCACCATTGCTGCCCAGCTTGGGGGCCATTTTTATTCAAACCACTACATGTAGGTTTGGTAGGGCATACCTTTAGTCCTAGCACTCGGGAAGCAGAAGCAGGTAAATCTCTTAGTTCAAGGCCAGGATATTCTACATAGTAAGATCCAGGACAGCCAGGGCTATAGAGAGACCCCATTTCAAAATAAAACAAATGTAAAACCCCAAATGATAACAAAAAAAATAAAGACTGACACTCCTAGATACAGATGATGCAATACTATAATCCAAGCCTAAAGGTACCCGAGTCACCAGAGTCACAGGGGAAGGAGGTGCCATCCAGAGGCTGGATAAGCAGGTTTGCTAACACTTTCCCAAGACTGGTGGTACAGAAGCCTTTGGCCTAGTGCCCAAAGAATTCTAGCTGCCTGTACTGGACAAATCCATGTGTACTCCTATAATATCAGCACTCAGGAGGCTGAGGCAGGAGGATTGGGAGTTTTTTTTTTTGTTTTGTTTTGTTTTTTGGTTTTTCGAGACAGGGTTTCTCTGTGTAGTTTTGCGCCTTTCCTGGAACTCACTTGGTAGCCCAGGCTGGCCTCGAACTCACAGAGATCCGCCTGGCTCTGCCTCCCGAGTGCTGGGATTAAAGGCGTGTGCCACCACCGCCCGGCCAGGATTGGGAGTTTGAATCCAGCATGGGTTATACAGTAAGACCATTTCTCCAAAAAAAATAAATAAAAATAAGAAAAAGCAAAAGAAAACACCAGAGAGAGAGAGAGAGAGAGAGAGAGAGAGAGAGAACACTATTCTAGTTGTTTGCTTGCTTAGTGTTCATCCTGCTAGACAGGCATACCTTACTAGGCGTCCTGCTGGGAGGTAGGCTTGCTGGGTGCTCCCAGGTGTCCTCATTAAATTTTTTTTTTTTTGTCTTCTTGGTCACACTGTTAATAATATTCATGAGTACAATGTTGTTAACATTGATCTCCCTTAGGACTGATTGCTGGAGACATCCATCACATGGGTCATCTCACTTCTTTCTCCCAGCAGCGCTCTGTACAGGTGTACATGTGAATTATTGTCCTAGTTCCCAGATGGGGAAACTGATAAAGGGGGTGACACATTGTAAGTCCCAGGGCAAGTCAAATCAGAGACATATTTGAAATCAGGCTTCAAGGGCACCTTCCTCTTCCACTGCCTACTCACTGCAGAATAGAAGACCCTAATTAGGTAAGAGCACAGAAATCTTGAAGTTTGTGAGGCAGGAAAAGAATCTGGTAGGAGTCACTAAGGGGGCATGGATTAGGGCGAAGGCAAAGTAACAAAGGTCAAGAGTGAAAAGCAACATTAAGAATAGAGGCCTGGCCAGGCCGAGGTGGCATGTGCCTTTAATCCCAGCACCTGGGAGGCAGAGCCAGGCGGATCTCTATGAGTTTGAGGCCAGCCTGGTTTATAGAGCAAGATCCAGGACAGGCACCAAAACTACACGGAGAAACCCTGTCTTGAAAAACAAAAAAACAAAAACAAAAAAAAGAATGGAGGCCTAGGGGCTGCAGAGATGGCTCAGCAGTTAAGAGCACTGACTGCTTTTCTAGAGAGAGGACTCTGCGTTCAATTCTTAGCACCCACATGGCAACTCACAACTGTCTTAACTCCAAGATCTGACACCCTAACACAGACATACATGCAGGCAAAACACCAATGCACATAAAATAATAATAATAATAATAGTAATAATAATAATAATAATAATAATAATATTAGAATGGAGGCCTGGCATTAGATGAGGATGACTGCAGGAATAAGGGTCCTGAATGGTGAGGTGTGGAGTGGGAGGATCGGGGGTGAGAAATAAAGACAGATAGCTGGGACTGAGGTCTCACATAAACTGATGACTTACGTCAAGCAAGTTAATTAAGAAGTACAGCATCTTATATAGTGTTTGGAGGGAAGAAATGGACCAAGCAGAAAGCTGAATCAAGCAATGTTGGCAGGGGACACAGGATACCTCAGACACAGCTGCCTTAGGACTGATCACTACAGCCCGGGGGAGAAAGCAGGGCCCCCAGGAACCAACACTTTGGAGGCCCAGGCTCCAGCCCCACACTGGACCTTGCCAGTCTGCTCTTGGACAAGGTCACAGAACTAATGGTCCCTTTGTTCTTTCATCGGGCCCTCTGAGAAAGCCCTGGGTTGGTATGGCTCCCCACAGACTGCAACAAGGAAGAGGGAGAACTTCCTGAGAGACTTGTGGTAAGCTCCCTGTGGAGGCTGTGCCCACACTGCCCTTAGAGAGCAGTCCTAGCTGGGAAGCCCTGGGTTCTGTGAACTCCTGTGTGAAGATTTGCTCCAAAACTGAATTCCATCTTCTCCAGTAGCAGAGATGTGGTTGGTGCAAGTTAAGAGTGCCCTGAACAGTTTGTGTTTGGGTTCTGGTTTCTCATCTGTGTTTTTTAGGGGAAGAGACAGGTTCTCCTGTAGTCAAAGCTGTTCTTGAACTCCTGATTCTCTTGTCTAAGCCCCCGGGACCACTGTACCCAGGTCTATTATATTCTTTTTGTTTGTTTGTTTGTTTTTGGAGACAGGGTTTCACTATGTAGCCCTGGCTGTCCTGGAACTCACAGATTTCCCTGCCTCTGTCTCCATTCTGTTAGAATTAAAGGAGTGTGGTTTATGCTCATTTTTATTTATTATTATTATTATTATTATTTTAGTTTTTCAAGACTGGGTTTCTCTGTGTAGCTTTGCGCCTTTCCTGGAACTCACTCTGTAGCCCAGGCTGACCTCGAACTCACAGAGATCCGCCTGCCTCTGCCTCCCAAGTGCTGGGATTAAAGGCGTGTGCCACCACCGCCAGGCTATGTTCATTTTTAAAGAAGAGGTTGAGAGATTCTGCAGTTTGTCTGAGGGCTACAATAAAAAGTGGAAGAATGGGGTTGGCCCAGAGGTTGAGAGCACTGGCTGCTCTTCAGAGGTTCTGAGTTAAATTCCCAGCAACCACATGGTTTTTCACAACCATCTACAATGAGATCTGGTGCCCTCTTTTGGTGTGCAGGCATACATGCGGACAGAACACTGTATATATAACAAACAAATAAATCTTTTTTTTTTTTTTTTTGGTTTTTTTCGAGACAGGGTTTCTCTGTGTAGCTTTGCGCCTTTCCTGGAACTCGCTTTGGAGACCAGGCTGGCCTCGAACTCACAGAGATCCGCCTGGCTCTGCCTCCCGAGTGCTGGGATTAAAGGCGTGCGCCACCACCGCCCGGCAAAACAAATAAATCTTAAAAAAAAATAAAAAATGCACATATTTTGAAAAATGCACTAGGAAAAATGCACATATTAAGAAAAAAAGAAGTGGAAGGATAGCACATACCTTTAATCCCAATACTTGGGAGGCAGAGGCAGGCGAATCTCTGCGTTCTAGGCTAACCCGGTCTACAGAGCTTGTTCGGGGACAGCCACAGTTACACGGAGAAACTGTTGAAAACCAAACAGACAAACTGAACGGCTCTATTGAAGAGAAATAGCAATAACCCATGTCTATGCTTATAGAGCACTTTCAGGAAGAGAGGTACCACTTTTACCAATGAGGTTGAGGGGGGTTTTGCGACGTGTCCGCAGTACAAATAAAAAGGGGAAAAGTGACTGATGGAAATGCGCAGGGATGAGACTGTAGTCTAGCCGGGCCAAAGAGCTGTTGAAACGACAAACGATCACGCCTAAGGAGGAAGCACCGAGGGGCTGACACCCTGGGCCCTAAGCCTGCCGCCGGGATCCTCCGCCCTCCCTGCTTACGTGCGCTCCGTGACCGCCGGGGCGCACGCGGGGACCGCTATACACGACGCATGCGCATTGCCGCCCGGGCTCGCTCCTCGCCCCCCTTCACAGGCCGCAGAACTGGCTTGAGGCGCATGCGCACACCTAGCGGGCGGAGGTCTGTCGAGCGAGTGGAAAGATTTCAGGGAGAAAGTGCGCGGGAGCGGGGCGGGGGAGCGCGAGTGCGCAGGCGCGGTCGCGGGGCGGGCTGCGAGCGGAATCTCAGCGATCCTCAGTCCCTGCCGCATCCCCCTGCCTGTCGCCATGGCCGCCTACAAGCTAGTGCTGATCCGGCACGGCGAGAGCGCCTGGAACCTGGAGAACCGTTTCAGCGGCTGGTACGACGCCGACCTGAGCCCGGCGGGCCACGAGGAGGCGAAGCGCGGCGGACAGGCGTTGCGAGGTACGAGCCGGACGCGCGCGGGGTGGCGTGCGGGGCCCGCGCCGGCCTGGAGGCCGCCTGAGCCTCCGCGCCCCCTCGAGAGGCATGCACCTCGGACGGCCTCTCCAGTTGAGTTTGCATCTGGGGAGGTGAAGGCAAGGTGGGAAGCCCGCTTCTCAAGGTCACCCCGTTCGAGTGGAAAGGGTTGTGTCAAAAAGAGGGCGCAGACGCCGCTAGGCGAAAATCTCCCTTTCTAGTTCGAGCAGCCCCACCTGTGGCAGCCAGGAACCTTTAGGGTACCACGAGGGCCTGGGTGGCTGGCGGAGGATGCCCCGTGACATCAGTTGCTGTACCCAAGTTTACCTAAGAGGCGCCTGCGAATCAAGGCAAAGCAGCAGGCCACAGGCTCGGCCTGGGCAGCAGGGGGAGTTAGGTGGGGATGCCTGATGGCGTCAGAGACACCTGGAAACCCGCGCTTCTCAGAGCAGTGTAGCTCAGTAGCATACCACCAATACTGTGACCAGAACGAATCCAGAGATGTGAGTGGGCGATTTCAGTTGATGTTCTCTACAGCCCCAAAGCAGGCATATTTTATTCCCCTCCTTTTTATCTCTGCCCCCGGTTATAGTTTAGAAAGTGGCTGGGAAGACTCATCCAAGGTCATACCTACTTAGCTCTAATCCAGTGTCCTTGCCCCATTTCTGGGTGGAGTAACAAGTAAGTGAGGAACTGGCGGGCTGGTAGCCAAGGACAGAGTCTGGGCAAAGGGTGGAAGCGTCTAGGAGATAAAGATTGCCTTTGCCTATCCAGGCTTGGTGTCCTGTACCACCACCTACTGTTCTCTGTGATTTTGGAAGGCTAATAAAGAAGCAAATCCTGCTGCCTGAAACCAGGAGAATCCCTGGAGTGAAGAGGTGCTTCCTTTGGTGGTTAGGGCCGATCCTGCCCTGCATCTAACTTGGACATAGCAGCAGCCATGTAAAAAGTTGCTGATGCTTGGTTGAAAGGATCTTTGTATTTGTGTCCTGGTTGTCCTATCTAGTTTTTACAGCCTTTTCAAAAGAAGATTGGCTTTGGACGTGAAGTCCTGATGCAAGGAAATGAGAATGCTTTGAGAGGGGATACATTATGTCGGAGAGGCTAGAAAAAGGAAGGTGCTGGGGAAGGAAGCCATTTTTAATCTTTAGCTCTGTGGCATGAAGTGCTGTATAGGTCTGTGGTAGTTGGCTGATGCCTAGCTCAGGACAAAGTTAAGTGCCTCTGTTCTCTGCTAAGATGATCATACATTGAACTTGTACTCCCTGGGAAATAGACCCCATTTTAAGTTTTTTTTTTTTTTCCTTTAAAGATTTATTTATTATGTATACAGTATTCTGCCTGGCCAGAAGAGGGCACCAGATCTTACAGATGGTTGTTAGCCACCATGTGGTTGCTGGGAATTGAACTCAGGACCTCTGGAAGAGCAGCCAGTGGTCTTTATTATTTTTTTTCCAGCCAGTGGTCTAAACCTCTGAGCCATCTCTCCTGCTGCCCACCCCCTCATCCCCATTTCAGTCTTCAATATTGGTAGCATTAAGTTTTAGAAAGTCAGGTAAGACTGCACATGGTGCTGCATACCTGTAATCTTTTCAGCACTCAGGGAGCTGAGAAGGGAGGATCTAGAGCATGGGCCAATTTCAACTACAGTAAGCCTGGCTCAAAGAGAAAAGCCAGATGGTGGTGGTGGCGCACACCTTTAATACCGGGCACTCGGGAGGCAGAGGCAGGTGGATCTTTGTGACTTTGAGGCCAGCCTGGGCTACAGAGCAAGTTCCAGGACAGCCAAGGCTACACAGAGAAACTCTGTCTCAAAAAACCAAGAGAGAGAGAGAGAGAGAGAGAGAGAAGAAAAGCCAATGTAACATTTTAGTATCTTTCTAAAGGTATCACAGACGATTACAGAACGGAAGACTAAAAGCAGAAACGACTGTGGGTAATAAAGTAACACAAAAGACACAGTTCTTGAATCTGATTCGGGAGGAAGCTAGTGAGACTTTGTCCTTGCAGCTTTAGGCTGAGGAAGGAAGGGGTCCACGGGGGAGAATGGTGCCCACACTTCCGTGACCGTTGTACCTCCAGCTATCCTTTAAATGGCAAGCTGAAGGAAGTGTCTGTGTGCTTCTGATCCTGTAGCATTCTTGTCAGAGTCCTAAGCACGGACCATTTTGGCCTTGGGGACTATTTGCATCCACAGTGTGAGGCCCTCCCTGCAAGAGGAAATGATTGCGTGAAACAGGCTGTAGCTTTTCATCATGGAAGCTGAGGCTCGTTCTGTGGGTAGCTCAGTGACTCAGCCTTTTGTTGGGGAGACCTTCCTCTTTTGGCTAAGGAGGTGGTAAAGGGTGTGATGGTAGTGAGTTTTCAGGGCCTCGTCCATAGGCTGAGGGGTGAGATCTGTCTTTTGTGGGTGATGGTGGCTTCCTGGTGACTAATCTTCCTCCTCCCAATAGCTGCTCTCAGTGCTCTCATTGTCAGTTGAATGACTAGCAGGAAAATTGACTTCACATTTTGTTTATAACTGTTGTTAATCTCATTATGAAGCAATGCCCAGAAAAGTTTGTGGTTGATTTTGAAGAGGGCCTTGTGTGCTAGAGAAAACAAGAGTGTTTCTTGAGAGGGACAGCTCCTTAATTCACAATTTTAAAGATAAGTCAAGCTAGTCTTGAATTCAAGATCACCCTGGCTCCATCTACTGAGTGCATGTGCCACCAGCCCAGGCTCTATCTTTTATTTTCCTAATCTGGTAAAAAAGGGTTGAGAGGATTGTAATCTTGTAGGATTTTAGTGAGGACTAAATCACAGTTTGGTAGAGGACCAGGGTGAATCCTCTAGAAAGGCTAGCTAGGACTTAAGGACCAATGATGAGCTCTCTAGAAAGGCCAGGCAGGACTTAGGAAGAGTTCAAGTGTTCATATTAATTTCTATTTCATTTTTTTTTTTGGTTTTCCAAGACAGGTTTCTGTGTGTGTAGCCCTGGTTGTCCTGGAACTCCCTCTGTAGACCAGGCTGGCCTTAAACTCACAGAGATCCTTCTGCCTCTGCCTCCCAAGTGCTTGGATTAAAGGCATGCACTACCACTGACTGGCTCCTTTAATTTTTTTTAAACCCATTCATGTGTGTGTGTGTGTGTGTGTGTGTGTGTGTGTGTGTGTGTGTGTGTGTGTGCGCGCGCGCGTGTGTACGTGTGTATGTGTGTGTACACGTGAGCATGCCCATCCCACAGAGTGCATGTGTGGAGGTCAGGGCAACTTGTGGTCAGCACTCTCCTTCCACTATGTGGGTTCTGGGGATTGAACTTGGATGACCAAGCCTATGATCCTTTTTTCTCTCAACTGAAACATTAAAAATATGTTTAGGTAACATTCTAGGTGTTAGAATAAGCTGCACAGTCCTCAGGCTAACAATATAGTTAGGAATTAGTGAGCCAATAAAAGGTGTACTTTTTTGTTGTTGTTGTTGTTTGCTTCCTGGAACTAGCTCTGTAGACCAGGCTGGCCTTGAACTCCGCCTGCCTCTGCCTCCCAAACGCTGGGATAATAAGTCAACCAATTTTGCCCTCAAAGGCTGTAAGAATAATCAGTTTGCCAAATAGTTTTTCTTTTCTTTCTTTTTTTTAGACAGGATGTCACTACCCCTGGCTGGTCTGGAACTAAGTAGACTAGGCTGGCCTTCAACTGATAACCTGCCAACCTGCCTTTGCCTCTTTCATGCTGGGATTAATGGTGTGCACCACCACACCTTGCCCCAAGTTGTTTTCATTTGACTACCTGTATAAGAGATTTGTGTATATAACAGTTGTGGTTCAGGTTAGGCTGTGTTAGCTTCTCACTTGGCACTTTTTTTTTTTTTTTGAGTCAGGGACTCTGTAGCCTGGGCTGTCTTGGAACTTGGCTATGTTGGCCAGATTAGCCTTGAACTCACAAAGATCCACCTGTCCCGCCTCCCTAGTACTGGGGTTAAAGGCATGTGCCACCATACCTTGCTCATCTGGCACTTCCTGATTTCTAGATGCTGGCTATGAATTTGACATCTGCTTCACCTCCGTGCAGAAGAGAGCCATCCGGACCCTCTGGACAGTCCTGGATGCCATTGACCAGATGTGGCTGCCAGTAGTCAGGACTTGGCGCCTCAATGAGCGACACTATGGGGGTCTGACTGGTCTCAATAAAGCAGAAACTGCTGCTAAGCATGGTGAGGCACAGGTAAAGATCTGGAGGCGATCTTATGATGTCCCACCACCTCCGATGGAGCCTGATCATCCCTTCTACAGCAACATCAGCAAGGTATGGTCAAATCTAGCTGTGGCCACTCAGTCAGCACTAGGGATTAGAGCATGGGCCTCACTCATTTTTATTTTTCAAATTTATGTATAGGGGTATTTTACTTGAATGTTTTTATGTGCACCCCATGTGTGCCTGGTGCCTTTGGAGGTCAGAAGACAACATCAGTTCCTTGAACTCTGGTGTTAGAGGTGATTGTGAGCCTCCATATGAGTGCTGAGAACCAAACCTGAGTCCTCTAGAAGAACAACAAGTGCTCTTAACTCC